TCTTCTTCTTTTTACGTTAGGCCTCTGGTCTGTGTTACACCTCTCTCATACGCTTGTGGTGCGTACGCTGATTATTCAATTACCACGAGCATCTTTAACTCTAATTTTCTTATTTCTTTAATATTTAATATTTATTCCTAATATTTTCTTCATTATATAAAAGACCTTACATTCTACGATAATGTTGTTTGTCATAAAAAACTTTTATAATCTTGTAAAGAACATCAAAAAATATGTTGAGGTAATATACTGTATGTGTTAGATTTAAAGACCGAAAACGCTCACAAAGCGAAAAAATCGATCGACTTTTGAGATTTAGCCACAATTTAGCGAAATTCGTGCCGCGACCCTTTCAAAAATGCTCACAACGCGTTCTGGCATATTAAAAAAGATCACAAAGCGAAATTCGTGCTGTGGTTCTTTTAACAATCGATCAATACGCGTTCTGGCTAAGTTAAAATGCTACAACAAAATAAATGTGTAAATGATCATGTTACCATCATTTACACATTTGATCATTTATTCATAATAAATGATCAAAACGCATTGTGACATTTTAACTTAGTCAAAACGTGTTGTTAGCATTTTTGAAAGGGCCATAGCATTTCGCATTGTGGCTGAATCTCAAACGCCATAACGCGTTGTGATCGGTTTTTTCGCTCTGTGAGAGTTTTCGATCTTTGAGCCTAACATATACAATAAGATAATTAAAAATTTACAGTGGAAATATTACAGTGGAATATATAACTATATAAAGTCATTATCAAAAATTTCTTATGTATACAATACAGTAAAAATTCACATTAGAGAAATTGAATTAATATAATATATTAACCATAGTGAACAAAGTCCATATAATCATCCTCAGAGTCTTCTTCATCGCTAGATGGCACAACAGGCATTAAATATGATATATTATGCTCACGTTTGTACCGTTCGAATCTACCTACTATAAAACAAAATAAAACATATATGAATAACAGCAAATTCGGTTGGACGCAGTAGTGTGTAATGCTGCATATTAAAGTAATGATATACTGATTTAACGAATATAAGAGAGTGAAATGCAGATATTTTGAATTATAAAATATATATTTTACTTAACAGCATAATAAAACGTATTGAGGATTTCACGGTTCAATTCGTCTTTATATTTATATTAAACACACATTTTTACATCAATTATGTACGATTTTAACGTACATTGAGTGCGTTCAATCGTGCGAATTTAATATGCAGTCAAAATCTCACTACAAATGCTCTAAAATATTTGATTGAACAATCAGAAGAATTTTACTAATTGACCAATTAACGAATGATTCAAAGCATTTGTAGCATCACATTGACCATACCCCAAGTTTAAAAAAATTGGAAAACTAAAGCCCTGTGTCCATGATGTTATAAATCAATCCAAGATTTCAAGTTATAGCATTACAGACACAGAACTTTAGAACTCATCTTTGTTTATTTGCAAATAACAGCTAAACATCTTGTTAAAAAAAATATATATATATATAATATATAAAAATAATTATTCTTACTGTCATAAGTATTTCGAACGTGATTTGTTTCTATATGTTCTGAGTCGTATGATATAAGTGGATTCTTTTCTTTGGACTTGATCAATCTTAACCATGGATACCCTATTGAAACAAAGATAACAGAGATGTAAATTTGTTCGTCATAGAAATAATAGCTGCTTTCCATTTATACACAAGTAAAACTGAGTCTGAAATTAATCTAAGTACTTCATATTCAGATTAATGACATCATTACTTTGATAAAAAATTCAAATTATATATGACAATATAGATTCATAATCTCATTTTTGAAGTCTCGAATTTACAAGATTCATTAAGGTACATAGTCTCGATCTTGTATAGATTATAGATAAAGACTCAGTTGAGTCTTTAGTAATTTGTCAGAATACAAAAGAAACACGCATTCAACTGTGTTATGGCGTCACAAGTGAGAATTACTTAGGAATTGGCGTAAATCGGTAAATGGAAAACAGCTATTTTATGGTGGAAAAAAATTACTGTACATTTAAGTGCCTTCAGAAGATAGATCTTAATTTCTCTCACAAGATTTTTGTGCACTGTCTTTTCCGCTACCACTGCTCCAAACAGATATAGAATGAGATAGTATTTCTTGCCGTTTATCTCTGTACTGTAACGAGATTTAAAATTGGATTGTTTCATGTATCAAATACGTATTTCTCCTTTTCCTCTACCACATCTGATTACCTGAATTGTAAGCAACCGTTTTCAATTCGGAGGTAGTAGTCGGGTACGTCGATCAATTGAATAGAAATAACGACGGAGAGATCTGTCTGATACCATTTGATTATTGGGTTACGGTAGTCAGAAACGAGTTCCGGGCAGCTCATGACTGTGTAATCTTCTCATCGAAGATCTTCATTTAAACCACGTTTTCTTCGGACAATGATATACGATACTATTGCTATACCTCGGTTACAATGGTGGTCAATGTGGTGACTGTGGTGAGTGTGGTTACAACTCGCAAGTCACGACTTTAAAAATTATTCCTATTTTAAATGTGTGTCATATATAAATATAAATATATATATATATGTATATATATATACTGTCAGTATTAAAAATCCATAATTTACGGAAGGAATACTGTGGATTTTTAATGCTAACAGTACGTAATATCCGGACTCGGCTTAAATTAGGTTAGATTAAATTCAAGAGGTCCGACATAATTAAATTTATTATATAAATGTTGCATAAATAAGTTTGCATACTTATTGTACTGCTATAGTATCTTATAATATCTTATTGCTGCAAAATTATATACAAGTTTCTTTCTATAGTTATTATATCTATTGATTATCAAACTGATGATAACGTTAAAATCATAGTTTTAAGTAAAAATCGAGTATTATCGAGTTTTAAACACACGTTATTATATGCATATGTCTACGAAATTAATAAATCCTAAAGTTAGTATTATATTTATCAGTTTCTTACTCAGTCACTCAAATCTTAAGTCACGAGAAAGATCAGCAGTCTTTAACAGTATCTTGTCGGTGGTTTCACTCATGATGTACAAGATATATCATTTTATCTTTCTTTAATATTCGGTGATATACAATAAGATGATAAAATATCATGTGTAGAATAAAACGCAACACACCTCCAATGGCCAGGCCAGCCACTGAACTGAACGCTGAACTACACGTGCTTTCATTAATTTATTCTATAAGGGGTTGCGCACAATGAAAAGAATAGGGAATAGGGAACAGAGAATAAGAATTTCAACTTATCAGAAACTGTGTATTCCGCAATACATGATTTCTGATAGGTTCAAAATTCTTAAGGCCTAAACACAACGCGAAAGCAATAGCGATAGCAATAGAAATAGCGATAGCATTAACGATAGTGATAAGAACAGAGCAATCCAACATACGGGAATGAAGAAGGATAGATTAGTAATCAGCGACCCCGAAAACCTCCGAATATTCAGTTTCGTTCTGATCGAGTAACTTTTTACTTTTCGGTCCGCCATCTTGGATTCGCCATTTGGAATTTCGAAAATCTGAGGTTAGATTCGTAATCAGCGACTCCGAGTAACAAATTTCAATTAAATTCTACGTAAAGAAAAATGTATGCTTCAAAGGGTTAATGGAAAGTCGAACTGCGCATGCAATATTGATGCATCAGATTGGCTGTTATACAAGCTTGCTACTTGCGACACAGGCCTAGTTTACATTGGTTTACTAAGCCACAGACGTGAAAATTGGAATCACATTACGTAAACGTAACCAGTTGTGTAAACGTAAACAGTTTCAAGAATTTCTGAAATACATAGCAAGATACTTTATAGTGCATATAACTATATATTTGAACGCTAAAAATGATTGACATGAATTCGAAAGAGAAAATTAATAAAAGTGTGCTGAAGTTGACAGACCGTATTCACTATGGGTAAGATAATTTTCACTCAATTTCCAAGAAAATGGAAAAAAAATAAATATGATTAATATGCCATTTTACAGAGAAATTAAAGGCACTCACAATATCGTGGTGGCTACTATCTCCGTGCTTAAGGAAATTATCAACAATACACACTGGAATACAGCAAAGTATGAATTGTTATTTAAAGCTGTTCATAAAGTTGTATCATTTGTTGTAACACATGCCAGAGCACATCATTTCATTTTGTCAAAACAGAAAATACTTTCCATTAACTTTTGCAACTTACATTATTAATTTTAGGCTTTAATTTTTTAGAGATTTAATGGATATTGTTGTGCAAAATGGAAAGTATCTCATTAAAGTGCTTCCTCTTGAAGCATGTATTGGAAATATGGTAAGAAGAATATTGCAGATCATCAGAGAAGAATATACTTCGGAATTGAAGAGTAAGACAGATGAGACGTATCCCCAGGAGTCCTTGCACAAAATTCTTACTGCTGAGGATAACCAACAGATAGATTTCAACGTTTCGGTACCTTCCCTCAAGGCCTCTCTCATCGAACACATTAATGAATTTGAAACCGAATTGGAAACATGGTAAGTACAATCACATTTGTATCATATTTCATCTGTTCCTTTCAACTGAACTTCTTCTATATCTTATCTTTCTTTTCTTTCTAACATAGAAAGAAAAAAATAAAGAAAGCTAAATGATATACAAAATTGAAAAAAAAAAAACATCTAAAAATAATGTAATTTCAATAATATAATGCAACTTTGAATGCTTCCCATTAGTAACAAAAGTCAACATAAGTCTATCTTTCATGATATTCAATGATAATAAAAGCAGAATAATACTTATTTCAACTTGTATTATCAAATGGAAAGCACTTATTAGAAATTTTTAGCCTAATTTCAATGTTGACTATTTCTTTTTACATATGTATTGGCTCGTATCATTTCATAACTTTCGAAATACATTTCTTAAGCCTTTTGAACAAATTTAATGTGTTCCCAGCTCAGAAAACATCACACGACAAGCATCCGAGCATATACACTCGAATGAAATTATAATGACCATCGGCAAGTCAAAATTGGTAGAGGAATTTTTCAAAAAAGCTGCTGCTACCAGGGCCTTTGATGTTATAGTAGCTGAAGGTGGACCGTCTCTAAGCGTAATTATATATCTGGCTTGAAGGACAAAATTGAACAGAGGAGAATGCAAAAGAGAAAAATCTGTGAATGAATTGCAGGGTCATGAGATGGCAGTGAATCTGGCTAAGGCAAAGATCAAGACCACGCTGATATCAGATGTAGCTATCTTCGCGATGATGTCCCGAGTCAACAAAGTCATCATTGGCACTCACACAGTCATGGCAAATGGTGGACTTCGGGCGATTTCGGGCGCACACACTGTCGCGCAAGCCGCCAAGCACTATTCTGTTCCAGTAATGGTTTTGCTGCCTCTCTACAAACTGGCGCCCCTTTATCATTGCTCGGGCAAACAAAATGGCTTTAACTGTCACGTTTCACCGATGAACGGCGTAATTGATAGTGCCAACGCACCATTGCTAGAACGGATACATGCTTACAATCCTGTATTCGATTACGTTCCACCTGAACTTGTTACATTATTCATCTCGAATACGTAAGATTATTATACTATTAAGATTATTATACAGATTAATGTTAAAATCTGGAGCAACAATAAATGTCTTTGTTCTTTCTTTTTCAGAGGTGGAAACGCGCCGTCTTATGTATATAGATTGCTTAGTGAATTGTATCATCCCGACGATTACGAATTATAAACAATTGTATATGTGAACTAATCATCCTTTTTTTGTCTAAACTCATGACCTCTATAATTTATTTTTATACAAATTAACACATATTTATTCTTACATTAAAGGAGATTCGCAATATACTTTACATAAATTAATCTTTACTGCATTGTAATGGTTTTTTTAGAATTGTAATTATATTTAAATATGAAATAATTATAATTATAATTTAAATATGAAATAAATTCTCTAAAAATGAGAATTAAATTATTCGCTTTAGTTTTATATTTCTCCACTTAATTAAAATTTTCTAATAAATCTTATAAAACTGAGATAGGGGATGACGGTCAAGGATTGAACAACCTAGGACTCGTCTAAAAAGTTGACCGTTCTCACAAGAAATCACACGTTATCTCGCAAATTATAAACTAAATTATGTACAAAAAGTGATCCCTGGTTTCTTGAAATGCTATACATATGGATTCCAATTACTGCCGTCTTCAGGTTGCAAAGAGTTTGTTACCAACAAAATAACGTCAACTATCCACCACACACCCATGCCACCTAATGTCAACAGTTTGCCTACTGCTGTTCCAGTCTGTCCGAGACAAAATCGATCCATACCGAGGAAACCCAACAGAATACTATACAGGAGAGTTGTTGCGAAGTATTGGCCACTATACTTTATACATGGTATCCCTTCGCGAAAGAATGTCCTTGGTCCAAAACACTCAATATCTGGCAGTACTGTACAGGATACCTTAGTCTTCTCTACATCTTCATAACGAGATCCTCCAAACTGTTAATTTATTAATCGTAAATAATTTGTATCTAAATTTCTTACAGCTGCAATTATGCAGTTATAAAGGAAAACATTTTTTGTCATTTTCTATGAATTTCTTCGTCTTATTTAAATTTTATAAATTATTCAAAAAAACAGAAAAACTTGATTACTCAGGATGTTTTCCAGCAAGGACACAGTGTAATAGAGAATATTTTCCAGCAAGAGACACAGATGACAGTATAACAGTAATAATAGTGAATTATTACATCCTTGTTGTTTGCTAACATTACAAAAGAATGAAATGATACATTGTTACACTGAACACTTTTTATAGAACAGTCATATATTATGTGACAGTAATACATAGTGTCGATTTGTAGCTATAACATTGCTTAACTTTTTTATTTCATTGCCAAAGTAAAATAAAGAAAAAAATCTCATACTTTGTTTGAATATATCCAAATGTAATCTTAAAATCTCTTATCGGAGTATCACTCCTAGAAATATAAATGGTGATGAAATGTAAAAATTTAGTATTTGTGAAATAATATAAAATAACAATATAAATTGTGTCGACTTGTGTTATAGTCAGGAAGCACGAAATTGTACATTATGGCTGATATTCATACTTGATTCTTATTTTAAGACTGTCTTCAGTAATGTCTTCAGATATTAATACAACTTTCTGATTGGTTCATGACATCTTAAGACTATCTTAAATATAAGAATCGACTATAAATATATAGTGTTGTCTATGTATATTGCAGGAAAATATCTCCTTGTTGAAAAATTCTTACAGCTGTGTTGTACCTTGACACAACCAAAGCCCGTCTCCTCCTTGGCAGTTTTGTTTCCCTTGTGATCAACCGGATCCTCGCATTCTATAAATTCCTTAGGTCTACAAGAAACACTCATTGTATTATTTCATTAAGAAACAGTCAATATTTATTTCGTTGAAACATTAGAAAAATGTCCACTTGAATACTCACAAGAATTTACACATCACCAGCGGACCATCGGGTCTATACTCCAGCTGAGGCTCGATACTTTTGTTAGCAAGCACTAAACGTTCATTTTGATCCCACAGAAGGCAGATAATCGTAATAAAAACAAGATATAACCTCATTTTGCCGTGGCTGGCATTTTAAATGCGAATGACAACTGACAATCACGTCAGTGACGCGATTCCAGTCCACTTGCAGAACTCTAGCTGAATAAACATCAGCACTGCGAAGTGCTGTAAGTGTAGAAACTACACTCTTGATTTCCAATAATCGAAAAGTAAAGCCAATTATTGTTTAAGCTTAACCAATCAACGTGCGCGGATTTAAATTTGGCGCGATCTTCACTCTCGTGTGACGTTCAGTGACGTTCGATGCGTACGACAGTCGTGACAGACAAGGATAATTTTGTGTATGTAATGAAATAATTTCGCGATAATTATGTAATGAGCAGCAGTATAGAAATTACAACGTGATATTGTTCGTAACGTTGAAAGATCATGTTAACTTTAAATCGGCTATGTATCAAGCCAGGAGCTTATTTTTCGCACGTGTCATCCGCAGAATTGATCTTGTCCAAGAGGTTCGTGCACCGATTTAATACTAAGCAAATTGCAAAGGTATAATATTGAATATTATATAATCTCTATTTAATATATAATTTGTACTAATGAAATAATTTAAATCATATTTGATAGAAACTATATGAAACGTTAGGAGTTGCAGAGAATTGCGAGGACGAGACTCTAAGATTGGCGTTTGTTCATCTTGCGAAACGATTTCATCCAGATAGTGGAGCGCCAGAA